AGACACTTTCCTGACTGTTAAAAATTAAGGAGTCACCAAAGTAGGGCTTTGGAGGCACAAATTCATGGGAGAATAATAATAATAAAAAAGAATTGTTTAGCAGCTATTCCAGGAGCCAAAATAACTCCTTGCTTTAAGTAGGGTTGAATGTTACAAGGTGTTCCCAGCCCAAGACAGGGTCAGGATAACACACAAAAATGTCATTTATAACAAACACATGCAAAAAAATTAAAATATATAATTGCTTTTAGCTTGTTTAGTATTTATTTGTGTAAATAAAATGTATATATGCTTCCCCCTTCCCCTATAGAAGCCTCTGGCCTGAAAGTTTTTCTCTTTGGTGTTGGGATAAATTGTGGGAAGGGGTGGGGGAAGCCTGGAAGTTGGATTTTGGATTTCTAATGTGGCTCAAACTGCCACAATAACACACACACACAAAATATTAAAAATATTTAAAAATCAATTTTTAAATGCTTTGGAGGTGAACACCAATGGGGTTTTTGGAGGTCTCATTTTTGCGTGCTGCTGAGCAAGTATTCCCCCAGAGCTTATGGAAGGTGTCACTGAAAGCAGCATTAGGCTTCTCCACACTTTATTAAAAATTCTTACAAGAACTTCAGACATGAGCTAAAAAGTTGCTTCTGTGCTTTGCACTGTGGCAGTAAAAATTACTGATAGGAAGAGAGGAATTCACCACAAACCTTTCCAAATTTTTGAAGTCATTCCCTGTGTTACTTCTTGTTTCAAATTTATATTCATCAGGCATCTAAGGGATAACATCTGTTGCACAGGTGTGATTTTTGGGGTTTTTTTGTGCAGTGGTAAGAGCGAGTTAATAAGAAATAAGGATGCGGATGAGAAATATTAGCTTAGGACAGAGAGCAGAATTTATATAAATTTATCGGAAATTTATATATATGAGACATGTATGAGACATCCAACGTAAGAGGCATCTTTACTCCAACACTTCTCTCCAGACATTACCCTAAGAACTGTCCAAAGAACAATTTGAGCTCCTTGTCCACTGATGATTTCTGACAAAACTTCATTTGCCTCTGGGATCTCCTTACTCCTGAGACTCTTGGGCTTCTGCTGTGTGATTTATTTGAACTACTTCTGCTACAGAAATAATTGTTCTTGGAGATGCTCTTGCAGGTTGTTGTTTTTTTTCCAGACTGGGGAATTCAGACAGAGACTGGACCACTATTTCTGCCATGTCCCCTCTTGGCTGGTGCTGGCCTGCGCTGACACCTACACCAGCAGTGTCCGCGTAGCCGTCAGCAGTGGCATGATTTCCCTGGGCTCTTTTGTTGTCCTTGCAGTATCCTATACTGCTATCCTGCTTTCCTTGAGGACACACTCTCCCAAAGGGTGGCTCAAAGCTCTCAACACAAGCTCTTCCCACATCATGGCCGTCACCCTGTTCTTTGGGCCCTGCATTTTCATCTACCTGTGCCCTTCCGCCACCTGCCCGGCAGACAAGGTGGTCTCTGTCTTCTACACCATCATCACAGCCATGCTCAACCCCTTCAGCTCCACCCTGAGAAACCAAGAGGTGAAAAACAGCACGAAAAAGTTGTGGAGCAGGACAGTGAGGAGGAGTGAGAAATGAAAGGACACGGCAATGTTTGTAAGATGACAGGAGCTTAAGACATCATGGGGTGGGAAAGAAAAACTGGTATTTGGTGGAAGTTTGGTGATTTGCTGGTGCCAATTACTGGAGGGGAATCTTTCCTTCTTCCTCTACCAGGGCAATTTCCAGTGAAATCATTACTATTCCCATTCAATATCAGTATCATGATAAAATGTTCATCAGGGTAAGAGCTGAAAGCTTTCCTACAATAGCGAGTCAGTCTGAATGCTCCCATTTTGATAGATTTGCTATCTTCTGGGGAATGTGCTGTCTCCTTCAGATTTGTTCTCCCTCCTGCCCCTGGGTGCTCAAATACTCCCCTAGGAGGTCCACTGCCAACAACTGGAAGACATGCAAATTAATGCCCACCTCCAAAAACCACTCCTGTACAATAAACAGGAAATTATGGCTATTATGGGTTGGATCAACTTTATTTCAAGCAATCCTGAGACACTGATTTGATGTCACAGGGGACCCTTATCAGGGCAGCAGCCTGAGCATGGTTAAAGAGCACAGGCATGGTTGATATGTCTGTTGGAGCCCCTCTGCTCTGAAGACAGGCTGGGACAGCTGGGGGTGTTCAGCCTGCAGAAGAGAAGGCTCTGGGGAGACCTTAGAGCCCCTTGCAGTGCCTGAAGAGGCTCCAAGAGAGCTGGACAGGGACTTTGGACAAGGGCCTGGAGTGACAGGACAAGGAGGACAAGCCATTTCCAGTACAGCAATGTAGAAATGACCCCAGAATCTCACAACTCTGGGCAATGCCCTTCTACTGCAAATTGACTGGCTGTGGTCAAGGCATGAATTTTCTAAAAACTTCTATTGGCCCTAAAATTTTGGAAAGGGAAGCAGAGGAATGAGATGTCCTTAAAATAGCTGACAACTCACTCATTTGCCTGAAGGTAACTGGTGACACATGGAGATGAAATACAGCAGCAAGTCCTTGGCACTTTATGATGGCAGTAAAATTAGAAGTAAAACATCATTACATGGACAAAAAAGTGTTAGAATTTCTCTATATGTCCATCAGAATAGGAAGACAAAGAGGTAAGCAGGACTGGCAGAAGAGGAAGGGTTTATCTTCACTGTGTAAAACTAAACCCAGGGGTGCAGTCAATAAGACTTTCTTTCTGGATTGGAGGAGCAGCTCCTGAAGATGGAGCAGAAATGGCCTTCAAATTCAGTAATCACATTCATTGTTTCTAGAGATTACATGCTTTCAGAGACTAGATTCTAGGCTTTAAAATTCATGCCATGGGTTTGATTCCTTGGCTGGCTGCTGGACACCCCCACAGCCCCTCTCTCACTCATCCTCAGCTGGCTATGGGAAGAAATTGAAAGAAAAAAATTGAAATAAATAATGCTGAGATAAAGATGGGGGATCTCTTCTCAATTAACACCATGGCTGGAAGAATCAGTTCAATCTGATTTGAACTTGAGCCACAGTTCTCAGTGACATATCCCCAGCGATATGATGGTCTGCCCAGGCCTTCCTTTGACTTGGGGAGTGAACATTCCTATTTGGTCATGTTTACATCTCATCCTGGTGAGGCATTGATCCAGTCTATCCCTGGGAAACCAGGACTCCCTGCCCTGGCCCTGAAGCTCTCTGATCTCAAGCAACATTTCCTGCTGCCTCACGCGGGCTCAATGCACAGATCAGTGGTAGAACCCTACATTTACCATTTTATTACTAGAAACTTCAGGCTTTGTTTCATACAAAGGTCTTCTGAGTGCTTGGAAGTGTGTGGTGTTTTCTCCTCTCTTCATCAACCCCCAGGACTCCACTCACAGAAGGTCCTCAAGTGACTTGGGACCCAACCAAGGGACCCAACCAGCAAAACTACTTAATAAGGCCCTCAGGGACCTGCTTGCAGTTTGCTTTAGTCCCCAGTATGTTCCAGGAGTATTTATAGGCTGTGCTGGGGTGGGGTGACTTCAGGGAGAAGGAAGATGCGGGAAATGCAGAGCTCAGTTCCGAAAGCCTTGGAGATGTTCCCTCATTGGATCTCTCAGTGTAAGTGACAGACAGAAAACAGGGCATTGATGCCATCACAGTAAAACCTGCCTGGCAAGAAAGAAAAACTGCCCTGAAAAATACCTGAAGCAAGTTTCGATGCAACAAGAAAAATAAGAGCAAGGATATGGGAATTGCAAGCAGGAGGAAGAAGAGTGGAACAATTCCCTGACCTGTCGGATTAAGAACTCGCAACATGGACTGAATGATTTCAAACGTTTTCAGGCAACAAATGTGGAGCTCAGAAAGTTGATGTTGTAGCAACATTTAGGAACTGGGTAGTGTAGGAAGCAATTTTTCTCTCCTTTCCTTATGTTCTTTGTGTCAGCCATGGGGTATTAAAGCACATGTGTGTGGTGGTGTTTGTTTATGTGAAAGGCAGAGAGAAATCCTTGGTAAAGTGTTGAAAAATATGCAGAAACATGTAAATGCTAAATGTTGGCCATTGGGATCCTTTAAGGCAGCTTTATTTAATGCTGACGGCATCCTAGACATAGGGCCTGGGGCAGGTATCTGCTCTCCCTTTACACTCAAGGACAGAGGGACAATCTTTGATGGGCTAAATCATCTCACTGTGGTGTAATGACCTAAAAAAGGTCAAGTGAGCCATGTCTTTAAGGTGTTTCTTCCTCTTTCTTGACTACACAGGGAGGCAGAGCTGCTACACACCAACTGTGATGCCTGTTCTGAGCTCTCTGTCTAGTACAACCTCGGGGTGGCTGTAGACTCTTCACCCTTTCTGCACCTCTGGAAAACTACTGAGCCCATGGGAAAGAGAGAGGGAAAAGTGGGATCATTCCTAAACTAGTGCTCTGATTTGCAGACAGATATTCTGAATTCTGTGCTTGAGATCTACCAGAAAGGGGGAGAAAATAGAGCAAGACCTGAGGAAAGTGCAAAAGGCAAGAGGCACGTGAGAAAAAGAGACTCTGGTTTCTTGCTAGTAACCTCCTGCTTGCTGAGTTAGAAACTCTTGGGCAGAAATGAGCAACAAAGGAATTTCCTGGTGGGATTGTAAATGGAAATGGGCATTCCTCTGCTGGTCCCATCTGAACCTCCCCAAGACAGTGAGTGTATTTGTCTACTGGAGAACTTTAACAGTTCCTTTAAAAAATAAAGAGGTAGAGAAACTGGGCAGGGGGTTGCAGCTTCTGCTTTGTTAGAGACTCCAATTCTGGGAGGGAGAGTGTGTTCTGATAACAGCAGGAAAGCAGTGGGTTAAGGGGTGAGGGTCAGTGTGGGGGAGTCAGAGATCTGAAATGGGAGCGGGAAGGCAGAGGAGCAGGGGACAGTGCTCTTTGCAAACGTTGCTCACTGTGATTTAGGACATGACACTGTGCTTTCTGTAGCAGGAAAAACAGCAGCACATGCACGCTGCTGTCACCATCCGTGACCCTTGGAGCTGTAGCACATTCCCTTCTCTTGCTGGCCAGCCCATGACTGCCCCTCAGCACCTGTGCCACGGGAGCCTGAGCTGCAGCCATGGCACAGAGCAACTTCTCCCAGGTGACTGAATTCATCCTCCTGGGGCTCTCTGACACCAGGGAGCTGCAAGTCGCCTTCTTCACCATCTTCTTCCTGGCCTACACCATGGTTCTGCTGGGGAACCTTCTCATCATTGTGACAGTCAGGACTGACCCCAAGCTCTCCTCACCCATGTACTTTCTCCTCTGCAACCTGTCCTTCCTCGATATCTGCTACACCTCTGTCACCATTCCCAGGATGCTGGTGGACCTGCTCTCCCGCAGGAAGGCCATTGTGTTTGAAGGCTGCATTGCCCAGCTCTTCTTCCTGCACTTTGTTGGCTCCTCGGAGATGTTCCTGCTCGCCGTGATGGCCTACGACCGCTACACGGCCATCTGCAAGCCCCTGCACTACACGGCCATCATGAGCCGCTGGGCCTGCTGGCTGCTGGTCTGCTCCTGCTGGGCAGGGGGGTTCCTGCACTCCATCACCCAGACTTGGCTCACAATCCAGCTCCCCTTCTGCGGCCCCAACACCATCGACAGCTACTTCTGCGACGTGCAGCCCGTCATCCGCCTGGCCTGCGCCGACATCTACCTCACCCAGTGGCTCATGGCCTCCAACAGCGGCCTCATCTCCCTGGGCTGCTTCCTGCTGCTGCTCACCTCCTACACGCTCCTCCTGCTCTCCCTCCGGGGACGCCTCACCCAGGGCCACTGCAAGGCGCTCTCCACCTGCGCCTCGCACCTGCTGGTCGTCACCCTCTTCTTCCTGCCCTGTATCTTCATCTACCTGAGGCCCCCCTGCACCTTCCCCTTCGACAAGTACGTCTGTGTCATCTACACCATCTTGTCCCCGCTGATGAACCCCCTCATCTACACCCTGAGGAATAACGAGGTGAAGGAATCCATGCAGAGGCTGTGGAAGTGCTGCAGCGTCTTCTGAGACTTGCACCTGGAGGGACGTTCCTACAGACTGATGGCTTGGTGACTAATGCCTACACACTTCAAATTAGGTGTGTGGATCTATACACACACATATATAAATATTCATATTAAAAATCCGTGTTAAAAAATTGAAGCTTTTTAAAATATTAAAAATCCATGTTGAAAAAACCAAAACCTTCTAAACAGTTTAATTTGTGTGGGATCATAAGTTTCAAATAAATAAATCCAGCACAAGCATTTTCTCCCTCTCTGCCGTGCTGTTACTGTGCTGTGACAGCAGATGGCAGAGGCACATGCACTCAGTGTCCCCAAATTCCCCCACTGACACCGATGTTCTCAGGTGAAGGCAGAGACAGTGCAGACAGTGCAGACATTGTTTGTAGGATTTTCTTCAGACATAGAAGGATGGGAATTCTTTTAACCTTTCAGAACATAGTCCTAATTCTCTCACTGAAGTGCATTATTAAAAACATACCAGGGACAATATATAGAGGAAGGAGAGGGATTTTGGACAAGAACATGCAGTGACAGGCCAAGGGGGAATGGCTTCACACTGACAGAGGGTGGGTTCAATTGGATGTTAGGAGGAAATTCTTCCCTGTAAGGGGAGTGAGGCCCTGGCACAGGATGCCCAGAGAAGCTGTGGCTGCCCCATCCCTGCAAGTGTTCAAGACCACATTAGACAGGGCTTGGAGCAACCTGGGCTAGTGGAAGGTGTCCCTGCCCATGGCAGGGGGTGGGACTGGATGATTTTTACAGTTCCTTCCAATCCAAACCAGCCAGGGATTCTGTGATCCTATGAAGGAGTGACCCAACCCAGCATTCTGCCTGGGGAGATAACAACAGTGTTTGGGGAAGAAGATTAAGGAGAAGGCAGTAGGATTTTGTTCTGTGATGTGTTATTAATTAGCAACATTTCCACCTCACAGGAATTAAGTTTCTCTACTTCTTCAGCCAACTTTAGCCTTTCTGAGGGCAGCAATGACATCACCAAATCCATCAGGGATGGAAGTGCAGTGGCTGCCATCAGGAGAACACCAACCAGAATGATTTAGGACTGGATTCATCCCATCAAAATTAGAATCACTGAATTATTTATGTTGGAAAAGCCCTCTAAGACCAGCAAGTCCATCCCTTCCCCCAGCACTGCCAAGGCCACCACTAACCCACAGCCCCAAGTGCCACATCCACGTGCCTTTTAAATCCCACAGCGATGGTGACTCCACCACTGCCCTGGGCAGCTCTGCCAGGGCTGGACAACCCTTCTAGGGAGAAAGTTTTCCCAATATCCAAACCAAATTGCTGCAAAGGAAGTGGGAGGCTCAAATTCCTCTCTTAAATTAGCCCTCACTCTCACACCAGCAGAAAGAGGAGGAAGATCAGAAGCATCAGGGAGTCCCTGATCCTCCTGCTTAAGAGAGATTTCCACCTATCTCCCATCTTGATGCAAATCAGACTTCATTTGAATGGTGAATTCCTACTTAGAATCATGACTGGATCACCATGAAATGCTCTGGATTGGAAGGGAGTTTTTCTCTTTAGTATTAGAGGGAAATGCTGAAATATTAAAATGTCCTCCAGGTCAATTGGGTAAATTTCAATGGAGAAAAAAACTAAAATGCATCCCTGTGATAATTTTTAAGAATTCCAATCAAGTTTTTATTAGACATTTCAGAATGTATATTATAGAAATCACATACAATCTTATCATATTTCATAAAATTCTGGTTTAGATGGCATAAAATTAGGCAGGAAATCACACCCAGAGACTGGTCACCCAGTTTTGGACTACGTTTTGTGTTCCAGTGACATCTCCCAGCTCAGTTTTAACAAAAAATCAAATGAAAATTCCATCTTTTTGGGAGCTGGTGTCTCAATACAAGGATGGGACTTGGAATAGCCTGGTCCAGTGGAAGGTGTCCCTTCCCATGGCAGGGGGTTGGAATGAACGAGCTTTAAGGTCCCTTCCAACCCAAACCATTCTAGGAAGACAAACAATTCAATGCAATTGATTTTTCTCTCCAGGAAACATCTTGGCATGACTTTAATAAGGCCTCAGTTGGTGCTGTTAAAAAGTTGGGCCTGACAAATTGCAAAGGTGCAACTTTGGCAGTTGAGTTTGGAAGTGTCTGGAAATTGGCTCCACTGCGCATCATTAAAACCACAAGTTCTTTCTCTCCTGGAAATTAGCAGCTCTGAGCTCACTGTCATCCAGAGGACAGGGAAAAATGGCCTCAAAGGGCAAAAATATTCCCTTGACAACTGCTAGGATCTCTACAATGCTTTTGTTAAATGGCAAGTCAACTGAAGAAATCCCCGTCTAATCAATTTTGTTTCAAGACCATGGGACTGAAACACAAATGGACATCAGAGAAAAGGCACTGCAGTCAGTCTGGGCTCACCATAAGCATTTCCAGGTGGAAAACTCAAGGCTTAACAAGGCTGGGCAGTCCCAGAATGGTTAAAAACAAATCCCTTTGCTTGTGTTACACTGGGGATGGTCCTGGTGTGGCAGGAGGGGAGGGCAACAGGGCTAATCCAGCATATCATCAACTGGGGCACATCTGCATTCTGCAAATAGAGACTTTTTTTTGTTTGTTTTGGGGGTGTTTTGTGTGTTGTTTTTTAATAACTGGTTTTAGAATAGAATATAATGTAAGAACTGGAACTTTCAACTGTGCCTCCTCAGCCAGGGATTCCTTCTTGAGTCCACAGCTCACAAATTGCCTTGTACCAAGTGGCTTGGAATGACAGAGCAATTTGGGTGAACAAGACACAGAAAGAGTTTTCACTGGGCTGCCCATACCAGCAGCTCCTATGGGATGGCAACATCAAAGGCATTTTTACACCACCCAAGGATCTCCAGGCTGCTTGGAGGCATTGCAAGATGAGGAATACAAGTGGGATTTTTATTGACTGATTTAGCCTGAGGCAGAAAGCTTAGCCCAAAGACCATCCTGTCTTTCTAATTCTATTGACCCAACTAAAAATACCCCTGGAAATACACACTGGAGACTGGATGCAGAGCTGAGAGCCAGCAGTCCAAAAAGTAGTCCTGGGTGAGTGGCACCTTGATTTTGTGGGAGGTATTGCCCTCTCATGGCTGTTCAATGAAAAGCTGGGCCCCAGGCAGTGGAAGTGACATGAAGCCAGTGTAGGAAAATGGAAAGGCACAGCCCTCCTTCTCCTCACAGCTATGCATGGGATTGGTCCCCTTGTTGCATCCCTTTCTGGCATCTGGCTTTAACACAAAATTATTCTCTTCATTCTTTCTTGCAAAACTTCATGGGAAGTGTGAGGGTTTATGGTCCTTGGGTCAACTGCAGCACACAGGCAAAGACCTGGACCACGTGGATTTATTCCAGACCCTTGGAGAACTCCAATGTAGGGAATCCCAGAATGGTTGGGGTTGGAAGGGACATTAAAGATCATCCTGTTCCAGTGCCCTGCCATGGGCAGGGACACTTTCCACTAGACCAGGTTGCTCCAAGGCCTGTCCAACCTAGCCTGGAAAACTTCCAGGGATGGGGCAGCCACAGCTTCTCTGGGAAACTTGTGCCAGGAACTCCTCATCCTCACAGGGAAGAACTTCTTCCTAATATGTCACTTAAATCTCTCATCCTTTAGTTCAAAAGTGTTCCCCCTTGTCCCATGGAAGATGCCTTAATTTTGAAGGAGTCACAGCCTGCAAACACAGCAAGCAAGCTTGAGAAATGATTGACAGGCAGTGTCATTCATGGGAACAGGGCAGAAACTACAGGCAGGTATTGCTGCAATAGGAACAGGCCCGTTCCTAGTCCTGGACATCACATGGGAAGTGATTCTCCCATAAACTAAGGCAGGGATGCTTTCTGGAACCAAAGGGCAATTTTTTGATAGCTCTCCAAAAGCAGTGCTGATCATTTGAGTTCCTTCCATTTCCAGCCCCCTTGGGCAACATTCTGAAAAAAACCAAACATACATGCAATTAAGGTAACACCCAAAAAAGCTTCAGAGACACTTGTCCCCAGACACACCTTCTTGTTTATAAACCTCATCAAAGAGGAGAGGTGCTCACCCTGGCAGCCCAGCCAGCCCTTCTGCCAGTGCTCACAGGGGTCTGGGTGAATATTGCTACACTGCCCAACCTGGGCTCATCTCTTCCTTCACAGTGAAAGAATTGTTCTGTCCTATGTAGATATTCCAATCCGATGGTGAAGGAAGAAAAAGGAGAGTTGTGTTTCCTGGGGATACTCAGGACTATCTATTACCTGTCGTTAATCCTGTGGAGCAGTGAGTATTTCTGGGTTCTTTCTGTGGTATTTCACCTGGATGAGTTCCCCAGCTGAAGAACCTGCCTTTTATTTCTGTTGACTAAAATGTTCCCTTCTGTACTTTAAGCTCTGACTTTGGTCCCTCTCAAGCTTCTGTGAGAACATGAGAGCACAGAGGAGCCTGCCTTGGATGGGATATCCTAATCACCTGTTAAATCTCTGGACCAATGAAATCTCTTACAAATGAGAACATGGGACAATAGTCACACCAACAGCCCCATAATCAAGCTCTAATCTCCAAAAAGGAGGCACTTATTCTGAACTTTGCTTTATCTCCCTATAGAGCTGATATGGAAATCCTTACCATAAATCCTGAGTTACATTCCAGGAAGCAATGCAGGATTAATGGGAAGACCCTGGAATGCCAAATGTAGTCTTCTTTGAATTGAAAAAAGAGCAAAAGGGGAAGTCCAGAGAGATCCTAAGAGGACTAATTCTGTTATGGAAGTCTAGAGGGCAGAATGTAGAGAAAGGTGGGAAGTCTTGAATTGGATACCAGATTAGATCTCTTTTTACATCCCACTTGGTGAACGTGAAGGAACCAAAATCATAGAACCACAGAATGGTTTGGAAGGAAGGCACCTTCAAGATCCTCTAGTTCCAACCCTCTGCCATGAGAAGGGACATTTTTCTCTTGATTACTAGGGATTCAATTCCTCTGGGGTAGCATTACTCCTCTAAAAATAAGTTTTAGTTTCAGCTGGTAAACTAGACACCGTTGGGGACACTGTTATCACTAAATAATTTATGCTGAAAGGCTTTCTAGGGATCTGTACCCCACTCTCCTCACTCTGACAACCTTCAAAGACCACACACCTTGCCTGTGACTGTGTCCAACCAAGCTGGACACCTCAGACAAAGTAAAACCAACTTTCAGCTCTTCAGGCTGACATGACAACTTGAAAGAATTCAACATTTTGGATTCATGCCTTTGAAGCTTAATGCCTACATGTTTCCTTTCACACTAGGTAGAGGTGGGTCAAATTTAGATTTAGAGTGTGGCAACGCAAGCTTGCAAATGTTTTTGAACTGCAAAACAGACCCCTTGCACTCTTTAGAAGGTGGATGCAAATTTGACTAAGTCCCAACTTTTTCTCTCTTCCAGGGAAACCTCTGTCTCCTTTCCAGAACGAAAGACAAGATGCAGAGGCACAACCTCTCAGCAGTGTCTGAATTCATTCTCATCGGCCTTTCTGATGCTCCACACGTCCGTTTGCTCCTCTTTGTGCTGTTCCTGACCATTTATTTGGCCACCATGGCAGGCAACATCACAATCCTCCTTGCTGTCAGCACAGACACCCGCCTGCACAACCCCATGTACTTCTTCCTGGGCAACTTAGCCTTGCTGGATATCTTATGTCCTACTATCACCGTGCCCAAGATGCTGGGGGCCTTGTTGCTTGACAACAAGGGCATTTCCTTCAAGGGCTGCCTCTTCCAGCTCTTTTTCCTCATTCATGTGGTAGGCACAGAGATCTTCCTCTTGGCTGTCATGGCCTACGACCGCTACGTCGCCGTATGCCACCCCCTGAAGTACCTGAACATCATGAGGATGAAGCTGTGTGCTCACCTGGCCATTGGCACCTGGCTGGTAGGGTTTTTGAACTCCCTCCTGCACACCTCTTTGGTTTTTACCCTGGTTTTTTGTGACTCCAATCAAGTGGACCAATATTACTGTGACATTCCTCCTGTGCTGGGCCTCTCCTGCTCGTCTACTTGGAGCAGGGAACTGGTGATTCTGGCAGTCGCTGGGGTGCTGGGGAGCGGCGCCTTTGTGCTCACTCTCATCTCTTATCTCTACATCCTCCTGGCCATCCTGGCCACGAACTCCTCCCAGAGCAGGCACAAAGCCTTCTCCACCTGTGCTTCTCACCTGACCGTGGTTTGCCTTTTCTATGGGACCACCATCTGCACCTACGTGCGCCCTTCCTCCACCTACTCACCTCAGCGGGATAGGATCGTTTCCATGCTCTATGGAATCCTCACCCCCCTGCTCAACCCCATCATCTACAGCCTGAGGAACAAAGAGCTGCGAAGTGCCCTAAGGAGAGGGATCAGACAGCTCAGAACTGCTGTCACAGCACAACAACACCTCGCCCAGTCTCGGGCGTCCTCTGCAGCTCCAGCAGTTGGATAGGAACTGCAGCTTGTGACTGACCTTCTAAAAAGTAGATGCTGCAAGCCAAACTCATTTTGGGGGACTCAAAACTCCTCCTCTGGCCTCAAAACTCCTTTTCTGGGCTCCCTTTGCAGTTAGCAGGGAGAACTGTGCACCTCCAGAGGGCCAAGTGGATGGCACAGCTTTAGGCCACGGTCACAGCAGGAGAAGACCTCAGTTGGGAAGGTTTCTCTCCCCTGAGCCCAGAGGAAGGTTAGGTGAGAGCACACAGGTGTTGGAGGCATGTTTTAGAGCCCCAGTCTCTGTTAACAATGAAATCAACTTGTGCATGGACAAAATCTTCCACCAACCCCTGCCTGATGGTGCTACCTGCCTGTAGTTTCCCTGGGATGGAGGAGAACTCTGAAAAACTGAGGAAACTCTGAGGTAAGGCAGGAAAATTAAGGATTTTATTAACAACTTATTGCTTAAAAATGCAGCAAAGAGGAAGAGAAGAGGAGAAAAAGGACAATACATGTTGGAGAACACTTTTACCCAGGAATTCATGCAGATTCAATGGCACAAGAGTCTGCAGTTTCAAGTCTGGGTGAAGACTGTAGAGGAATTGAATGTATATCAACAGGATGAGGAACTGAGGGAAGGTTTCAATTACAAGGGTTGGAAATATCTAATCCAGTGGCAATATCTGATCACTGTTCTCCCAGTTACACAGATCCCAAAACAAGAATATTTACTGACCAAAGGCAAGCTGCAGACACATTCCTGGAGTGTATTTCACCTCAGAAGCTGCAGGAGAAGAGAAATCTTAAGAAATGAATAAATTCTCTATTACTTAATTACAAGGGGCTCTGGGTTTTTAAATGCTTTCATTAGGTGGTGAAACCTTGTATTAACTGTAGGCTTAGGGTGTTTGAAATGAAGTAATAGTTTGAAATACAGGAAAATTCATCAGTGTGAATAAGGGTACAGGGTTGCAACCGTGAGCAGGATATTTGTGAAACATTTTGCCGGCTGCCTTGCACAGCTCTACTTCTACGTGGCGTTCTGCACGGCCGAGGTTTACCTGCTGGCAGCCATGGCCTACGACCGCTACGTGGCCGTCTCCAAGCCCCTTCTCTACGAGCTCATCGTGTCCCCCGTGCTCTGCACGAGGCTGGTGGCCGGTTGTTTCCTTGTGGGGCTGCTGAGCGCGGCCGCCCACACTGGCGCGGCACTCCGGCTGTCTTTCTGCGGCCCACTGCTCATCGACCACTTCTACTGCGACGGGCCACCGCTCTTCCTCGTCGCCTCCACGGACACGCGCCTCAACGAGGCTCTGGTGTTTGTCCTGGCGGGGTTCAACATCGTTGCCACCAACCTGCTCATCCTCGGCTCCTACGCCTGCGCCGCGGTGGCCGTGGGCAGGATGGGCCCCGGCGCGGGCCGGCGCAAGGCCTGCTCCACCTGCGCCGCCCACCTGGCAGCCCTCGGCATCTTCTACGTGTCTCTCGCCTTTAACTACATGCAGCCCAGCTCGGCCCACTCGCTGAGCAGCAAGAAAGTGGCATCTGTCTTCTCCACCATCGTAGTGCCCTTGGTGAACCCTGTGCTTTACAGCCTGAGGAACCAGGAGGTGAACAACGCCCTCAGCAGCTTCATCAGGAGGACAATGTACTGATGAAAGGCTACCTTCTATTGTTTCCCTGGGTTTTTTCTCTTTATGGAGAATGTCTCATGTAGAGGAGACTGAGGGGAGTCCTCATTGCAGTTACAACTTCCTGGGGAGGGGAAGAGGAGGGGTAGACACTGATCTCTTGTGGTGACCAGGGACAGAACCCAAGGCAATGGCCTGAAGTTGTGTCAGGGGAGCTTTAGGTTGGATGTTAGAAAAAGGTTCTTCTCTCAGCGGGTGGCTGGGCACTGAACAGTGCAGTGGTCACAGCACCAAGGCTGACAGAGCTCAAGGAGTGTTTGGACAATACTCTCCTGCTCGTGGTGTGACTTGGGAATGGTCCTGTGCAGGGCCAGCAGCTGGACTCCATGATCCTTCCCTTCCAACTCAGCATATTCTTTGATTCTGTGAGTCTGGGAGGTCTTGGAGACTGTTGCCTCCAAGAGCATTTGGGACGTTGTTACAGCTGAAAAATTAATTAGTCTGCTCTCAAACTCTGTCCACTAATAAAGTTGCATCACTCTTGTCTCACGTACAAACTTCTTGCCCACTTACTCGACCTCGACTCTTACTCTCTACCTGCCATGATGCCACTGGGCAAAACAAGGGAAAAGGTGTCCAAGAGCCAGAGAGGGGGACACTCTGGATCTTCACACACAATCACAGGATGGTGGAAATTCGGTGGGACTTCTGGAGATGACCTAGTCCTGCTCAAAGCCAGGGCAACCAGACAGGCTGCCAAGGAGTGAGTCCACTCTGAATAGCTTTAACCATGGGCACCCCACAACCTTTCTGGGGTTTCAGTCTTGATTGCCTTTATGGAAATAAAGCTTTTTTTTATGTTTCAACTGGGTTGTAGCATCATAGAATCACAGAGTGGTTTGGGTTGGCAGAGACCTTAAAGATGATCTTGTTTCAACCCCCTGCCATGGGCAGGGACACTTTCCACTAGACCAGCTGGCTCCAAGCCCCATCTAACCCCAGCTGTGGCTCTGACCTGCAGGCAATGCTTTTCCTAGAGCAGCCCAGGAGGATCTTGACCTTCTTTCACACACGGACTGGCTCATGGGCAGCCCGCTGTCCCAGCAGGTCACACTCCAGCCTTTCCTGCTGCCTGGGGTTATTCCTCCCAGGCTGCAGCACTTGGTTGAACCCCAGGAGGTCCCTCCTGACCCATTTCTCCAGCCTTTCCAGGTCTCTCAATGGCAGTACAACCTGCATGCAGTGGTTGCATTTCCCATCTAAATATTTGCAGCTACTTAAAACCATCAGTTTTTGGATATTTTAGATCTTCTGGCATCATCTTAAAACCATCCCTCTCTTTGGTTAACCAGAACTCTTTGCTTTCTTTTCCATTTTTGGTAGGCAATTTGACTGAAAGCTGTATTTCCAGAGTGTTTGGTGAGCATGAATTCTAATGTGCAATACTAAATGAAAAATACTTTCAAAGCCAAGATAAAATATAAAGTTTTACTAATTCTCAACAAACTTATGTTATATATCTCAATATTTTGGCTGAATCATGAAATGATGCACTAACTCATTTGTTGGCCACCTCTAGACCCCAAGATAGTCACGTATAACTTCATATCCTTCCCTGAATACACTTCCCTGTATACATAAAGCACACATTAAATGACCTGTTTAAATTCATCTTCTGAGTCTTACCTTAATGTAAATTTTCTTCTCTAGATTCTATTAAAAACCAGAGGTGCTGTTTCCCTTTGCTCAGCTCAGCACAGAACATGAAACAGTGGCCAAGGACAGAACTTGGGGCTTTTTATTTCCTTTTGGACATTTCTTTCGATGGAGATAGACTGAATTCCATCAGATGCCCTATTGCTCAGCCTCTCCTCAGGTGTGATTCCCCAGCACTACCTCAGGACGTGGATCTCCTTGTTGTCCTTGGTGTTCCTTGACTGCTTCCAGGTCACACTGAGGAGCTCACACCACTCCCCACTCCACTGCTGATTCAGGCAGGTGCCAAGAAGTTCTCCAAGAGAAATAAGGTGCTGATGTCCCTTTCCCTCACCCAAAGGCAGAAGTGAGGAACTTCAGGCTGAGGAGAAGTTGTCACAAAGTAAAGTGCTCCACAAGTTCTCCTTTCCTTTAACAAGGAGGAAAGTTGCCTTCTCCTTAGTGTCTGTGAACTGGTCCCCAGGGGCTTGTTAGAAGGATGAAGTAGGTCTGCCATGAGCTTCCTGAGAGGGTCCCAAGATCTTTAGAGGCTTCTTCAGGATGCCCAGAAGGGCTTGTTAAGCTGAAGACCCTTGGGTGGCTGCTCCCAGGGGAGGGCCTTCTTTTGGGAAGGGTAATTTGGGATGGAAATAGATGTAATGACTGAGCTGCTGTTGGAGTTTGGGTCTGCTGAGGCTTCCAGTGGCTCATGCTATGACTTTTGCCTCCACCTGCTGCTGGAGGAGGCCTCTTCTTGATATTTTAGTTTTGCCTTCTCTGCCCTATCTTTGACTCATGGGAAGAATGTTTTTTAAAAACTAAACACTCCTTTAGGTGTGGTGGGAGTCAGGGTTGGTCCAGGACAAGGCTGGTGTCTGGCTCTGGACAAACTTCCCTTTTCCTCTCTCACTTTGTGCTGATCATTTTTCCATTTCTCCTTGTATTTGCCCACTAAAGGCTTCATCTATCCAAGGGGTCACCTTACACTGTCCCAAAGAGAGTTTTCAGGAGATGCAGACTTCCCCAGCACACAGCCCACCACGTCCAAACTCAGTTCTGGGCATCATTCAAGGCTAATTAATTAATTCATGCTCCTGGGAGGTGGCTGAAGACTCCTGGTCTGAGATGGCACCAAACAGCAGGAATATCTGACCATCCCATTCTGACTGTTATCTCGACCCCCATTTTCACCTGAAATATCACCAGGCTGTTGTTCCTCAGGTTAAAAAGCTAAAGAAGATATTGGAGCCATTTTGAGTCTAACTCGGCTCAATTTTCAGGATCCATCCATTATTTAGCTTCACTTTTAGCTTCCACTCTCCATAACACTATTTATTATTTTAATTTCAGACAGACCAAGACTTAGACTAAAATAGGTGGCTTAACATCCACAGAAAAAAAAAAAAAAGAGAAAAAAATACAATATATTATTAACATTAGGCCTGCTCATTGGCACAAGAAAAAGCTTTAATTTTTCCAAACTTCTTCTTCACCACCTACTTGATCCCATGCTTTTACCTTTTACACTCATGAAACCAAAATTCTCCTGTTAAAATGGTGGGGGGAAATGGAGTGCCACACAGGGATAAGAACACTTGGTTTTCCATAAGATGGGACTGGTGGTTGTTTCTCAGCTGGAAACCACTCAGGAACACTCCTCTTTCCAGAGATGCTGGAATCCAAATGGAGCTGGATGGAGAGATGCCTAAGGACGGATATCAGCTTGTGTGCAACTCCAAATCCTGGATGCCTTTTAAAACAGGCATCTGAATCCATGTGACCAACCTTGAGTGCAATTGCCAAGCTATGAGCAGATGGGAGATTTTGATGCTTCTCCTGTCTTGCAAAGCTGCAAAGGTTGCAATATCAAGTCTAACTCTGCTGTGCTTCAACCCCTCCCACCCACCAAAGCCCTGTGCTCCCGAGATGCACTTTAAGGTCCCTTCCAACCCAAACCATTCCAGGATTCTCTGACCTTCAGCCAGGATAAAGAGCTGCTACCCCTTTCTGGAGCAAGGGGCTTATCCCTAAGTTTTCCTCAAAACCAAAACATGCTCCTTCCTTGTGCCCAACAGCCTGGAACACTAGAAAGAGGGAACTCTGTCAGCCAGCCACAATTTTCTTTGCCAGAGCGGGAAAAATTGAACAGAAAATACTCGTCCAGTTTCTGATCCTCTTTCTCTGAAGGTCTCTTTTTGGCTGCTCTCACAAATGGATACCCCTGGGCCTGTCTCTCACCACAGAGCTCTTCTCATATTCTTAGCGGTGGGACTGCCCTGTTGGAACAGGGGGATGGAAATACAGACAGCACCATCCTCCAAATAAATGGAGGAAAAATGTATTTTTATTATGAAATCCTCCTATGAATCATCCCCTCTGCATTTACACTTTGCATTTGCCACTGAAAATCAGATACATATTTGTTCATCTTCCTCTTCCTTTCCCAAAGACTGTAAGACAGCTTTAACTTCCTCACCCAATAGTTCTTCCTTGAGTTGTTGCTGGTAGCCCTTATTAACCTGGCCAGGACTCCAGTGGAAAATGCTATTTAAATTAAAAGACTATTTGCACCCAGAGCACTATTTAACCTCCTCATAAATTGGAGGGTTTCTCTTTTCCCTGCCTGGATCACTGGCATTCTGTGTCAGGAGATGGTCACATCACCTTGGCTGTTAATGGGCCATTCTAAACTGCAAGAAATGTCAACAAAACAAAGTCATGGGCAGTGGATGAAACTACTGATTGATGCCCATATATCAGAATTCAAAAATACACAGGAAACTTCAGAGCAGTGATGGGTTTAAGTGATGCTTAAATTCATTGCATCCCGGAATGGTTTGGGTTGGAAGGCACCTCAAAGATCATTGAATTCCAACCCACTCCATCAGCAGGGCCACCGACCACTAGACCAGGTTGCTCCCACCTGGCTTTGAACAATTCCAGGGATGGGGCATCCACAGCTTCTCTGGGCAACCTCTACCAGGGCCTCACCACCCTCACAGCCAACAATTCCTTCCCAATAGCCCATCTAATCCTGCCCTCTGGCACTTGAAAGCCACTCCCCCTAATTGATCAAGTGATCATAGGAAAGCCTGGACTTGCAAAGACTCACCTCAGCTGACTTCCACAGATGCACAAGAGCTGACTTCCTCCCCTCCCTCAGTTTCCCAATTTGTAAAATAAGGGTTTTTTTCCCTTACTCTGTAATTCCCTGATTTTTGCTGAAACCTGCAAGTTCTTGCAAGAGACTTTATTCACTGGGCTGTCAGTGATGAAATTTCATGTCAAACAGGGACTTGGAGGGTCATCAAGAGGTGACCATCTTCTGTCTCCCTTCTACTTACTACTAGG